GGCAAAAACTGTTCCTTATGGAGGCCCTTAGTTTTCCATTTAAAATTAGTGCAATTGCTGATTGGTGTTTAAAAAAATTCTCTTATTCTTTTAAATATAGTAATCTGAAGGTATTGCTGAATTTAGTAACACAGCTGAGAACAGTATCCTTAAAAACAAATAATCTAGTTTAGGTTAAATGGGAATAGTTGGCTAAATATGATTTTTAAAAATAATACTTAAGGTAAATGTAGGAACCAAATAGCATGACAAAAAGTGTTCAGAAGAGGTAGTACCTTTGTACTTAATTTTTAAAAATTTAAATGCCTGTATTGTATAGGTTTTAACATTTTAGGACCACATGTATGTATAGCATAGTAATAATTTACCGTAAGTTTGTAGTGCACTATATTAGTTGAAGTACGATAAAGAAATTCTTGCAGAAGAGTGGAATTACTTCTGAAATACTATGTTTTCCTGCTTGTATTCCTCATCCTACGTACTCAAATAAAGCGACTATTTTTTCCCTGATAAGAAAGGTAGAAACAAATGATTGTTTTACTTTTTTTTTTTTTTTTTTTGAGAGGGGCTCTTACTCTGTCACCCAGGCTGGAGTACAATGGTGTGATCTTGGCTCACTACACCCTCTGCCTCCCAAGCTTAAGCGATTCTTGTGACTTAGCCTTCCGAGTAGCTGGGACTACAGGTGTGTGCCAGCATGCCCAGCTGATTTTTTTGTAGTTTTGTAGAGATGGGGTTTCACCGTGTTGGCCAGGCTGGTCTCAAATGCCTGACCTCAGGTGATCCGCCCACCTTGGCTTCCCAAAGTGTTGGGATTGCAAGAATGAGCCACCTTACCTGGCCTGTTTTACTTTTTTTGTCTTCAGAATGCTTATTATGCAATGAAAGTAGAATCCCTCTCACTGTCCCACAATGTGGAATTCTCTAATGACTGTAAATCAGTATTATTTTTTTTTTAAATCATTACTGAAAGTTCTTTTATGATACTAAGCAGATGTCAGGATTTACTCTTCAATTAGGTGGGATAGTGGTAATGAGCAGATTAGACTCCTTTGCCGGTGACACATTGCTTAGGAGAACTGACATTTAGACCACTGATCCCCCTAGTGATTTTACATGTCAGGACTGAGCTATCTGTCACTTCCTCTATCTTAAAAATAGGCAGAATAAACAAGAGGATTTTTACAGACTATAAAATCCAAACTAAATAACTCTGAAAAAGCCTTGATGATTTAAAAGTCTTTTAAGTATCGTAAATTTTATTTTTTCAAATGAACATGCAGTAAAACTTTTTCTGTGTATAGTTGATAAATTTTAGCACGTATATAGATTTATCTCGCCGCCATCACAGTCAATATCTGGAATAGTTTCCTTAGCTCAAAAAAACTACCTTGTTATACCTGTGTAGTTGTGCTCCCTCCATACCCCTCAATACCTGGTAACTCTGCCATTTTACTTTTGTCTTTTCAAAAATGATCATGAAGTAGAATAATAGACCATGAAGCCAGTTAAGACTGTTAGGTGTGCATTTACTCAGTATAATGCCTTATAAGATTCATATAAGTTGTTCTGTGTATTGATATTTTATTCCTTTTTATTACTGAGTAGTATTCAGTTGTATGGATGTGTACCACAGTTTAAATTCATTAATTGGAGGACATTTCAGTTGTTTCCAGTTTTTAACTATTTTGAATAGAGCTGCTATAAACATTTTTGTATAGGATTTTGTGCAAATGAGTTTTCATTTCTGTTGGGTAAAAATACATAGGTATGGGATTGGTGGGTCATATGGTGTTTATTGTGAAGAAATTGACAAATTGTTTTCTGAAATGGCTATACCACTTTGTATTTACATCAGCAATGTATGAGTGTTCTAGTTGTTCTGCACTCCTGTCAGCACTTGGTATGATTCATCTTTTTCATTTTAGCCATTCTAATAGATTTGCAGTGGTACCTCATAATGAGTTTCATTTTCATTTTCCTGATAGCTAGTAATGTTGCACATTTTGTCATATATTTTGTTACATTCTCTTTGGTGAAGGATCTATTCAGGTCTTTTGACCATTAAAAACAACCTTTTTATTTTAGAAGAAGTTTAGATTTATAGAAGAGTTACAAAGATAATACAAAGAGTTCCTTTATATTCCTCACATAGCTTGCCATAATAATAACATTTTACAAAACCAAATGCATTTTTCAAAACCAAGAAACCAACATTGGTACCTTACTACTAACCAAACTCCAGATTCCAAGCTGGAATTTTGCCAGATTTTCCACTGGTCTCCTGTTCAAGAATCCATTCCAGGTTTACATGTTACCTTTGTCACTCTTCCCAAATCTCATGTAGTCTATGACAGTTTCTCAGCCTTTCTTCGTTTTTCATAAACTTGACAGTTTTGAGTACTAGTACCAGTCAGATACTTTGCAAAGTGTCTCTCAATTTGTGTTTGTCTAATGTTTTTCTTGTGATTAGACTTAGGTTATAAGTTTTAGGGAAGAATCCACAGAGGGAAATGCCCTTTTCCTCACATCTTATCAAAGTACATGATGACAACGTTACTTGGTTAAGGTATTGTTTATCAGATGTCTTCACTGTAAAGTTGACATTTTTGTCTTTTTGTATTCTGTTCTTTAGAAATGAGTTGCTAATTTCAGCCCACAATCCAAGTGCTTGGGAGATTGTTTCATCTTATGGATGGGGTATATGTATTTGTTATTAAGATTTCTTCTGTAAGTAAGCTTTTGTCCCTTTTTTTCCATTTATTTATTCAGTTATTTATATCAATATGTATACTTACTTTATACATTGGCTTATAATTCAGTACTGTTATTTTTTTGCTAAAATTGTTCCAGTGTTGTTCCCTGTATTCCTTTGACATGTCCCCATCCTTTTCTTTTTTGAATACTTCCTTAATTTTTGGTTCTACAAGGTTCTCCAGGTTCATCATACATTTTATCTGCGTTACCCGTAGAATCGGCGATTTCCTTTTAGGAGCCCTGGTTTCTTGTGTTGGACAATTGTGTTTAGATCCATTGTCTCTCTGGGTACTAGATATACTTGTTGATACAGGGGTATCACCATTTCAAGGCCTTCTCAAAGGATAGAGCTAGGAAATAATACATTTGTATATTAATCATGTATTTATGTACATCTATAATTGTTTCTGTATCCATTTGTATTATATATTATGCTGTATATATATCAAGTTCATACTGATGTCTGTGACTAATCCAGTAGTGCAGGGTTCATTCTAGGCTTTTCTACTTTATCTGTAGCTTTCCTTTCTAACAGAAACCTGGCCTTGATTATCCATTTACTTACTTGTTCCATCTCAGTAAAGCAAGTTCACAATTGTTAACCAGTACCCCTGTGAGAAATAAATTTACCCTACACCCTTTAGTTGGGTTATGTCATTCATTTATAATATAGCCAGATTCATTTGTCATGGACTGTCTTCTATCTTAAAATTTCCCCAACATCTTAGTTGATTTTTAAACATTTGCATACATTAAAGTTTAATATTTGTGATGTGCAGTTCTGTGGGTTTTGACAAATGCACAATGCCATGTGTACACCACCTCAGTATCATACAGAACGACTTCATCACACTAATGATGTTGACCTTTTTTCCCCAATCTTTGTCTCTGCTCAGATTGGATCACTTTTATTCATCTGTAGTAAGTTCACCTACTTTTTATTCTGTCATCTTTATTCGACTATTGAGCTCATTTAGTGAGCTTTTTATTTTGGTTATTGATATTTTTCTACTTCTAAAATTTCCAGTTGATTCTTCTTGTATCTTCTTTTTTTTTTTTTTTTTTTAAAGCTTATCCTTTGTTTCAGGAATGTTTGTAGTTACCTGTTAAAGTATTCTGTAATAATGGCTGTAATATCTTTAATATCTTAGGTAATTTCAACATCTTTGTTTTCTTGATGTTGGCATTTTTTCTGTGCAAGTTGAGATTTTGTTGATTCCCTGTATTCCTAGTAATTTTGGATTCTATCCTGGACATTTGACTATTATGTTAGGAGACATTGGATCTTGCTGAAATACTATGCAGAATATTGATGTATTTGTTTTAGACAGTCAACCCAGTTAGATTCACACTGCAAGTAAGTTTCTGTGGGTTATAGTTACAGCATCAGTTTGATTTTCAAAGCTTTTACCATACTACTTGGTTCTGTCCCACATGTGTGTCACCCATGGCCAGTCTGGAACTTGGGTGGGGGTCTATTCCATAATTCTCAAAGTCTGTGTATGTTTGTTTGGGTCAGATGCACACAAATGCCACTTGAGGGTGAGTCCAGTAGTTCATAAAACAACTTTGAGGTGTTGCTTTCCCATGTTCCTTGTCTGTTATCTCCCAGTAATTTCTAATTCTGCCTGGCTCCCCTTTTCTGACCAGGAAATGGGTCTTTCTCTCTCTTTAATATTCACTCCCTGCAACTATGCCCATATTCAGGGCCAAGTGGCAAGAGGACAGAGAAAGAAGCAGTAGGGATTCACCACATCCTTTTGGGACCACAGCCTCTGTGTTCAGAGTTAGATTCCCTCTCTCAGAGTTTTAGGTTCCTAATGGCCTCCAGTGCCACTGTTGCCACAGCTGGGATGGGTGGCTGGCCTTGAGAGAGCGAAAAAAGGGAAGAAAAAGGAGGGATTTGCATACTTTCTTGTGAGTGTTAGGAGTCTTCTTTCCTTCTTCTCGAGCCAGAGGTAGAGGGATTCTCCTGCAGCTTTCCATTTGGTCTGTATTATGTTTAGTCTGGATGAAAGCGGGGCAGGGGGATATAAATGGTAAACCTGTGGTTGCTTCAGTGGTACATCAAATTCTGATTGTCTTACTTAATCTGCCTGCTACTGTTACTTTTCAAAATTCCCTAGTAGCTGCTCAATGCCTTCTGTCCAGGTCTTATAGCTACATTAACTTGTTGGCATGTGATTACCCCATCTTATCTGAAACTGGAACCTGACTTAAGGTTTTCAATTTTGTTTCTCTAGGAATTTGACAAGAAACTGAAGTTTTGATTCAGATATATTTTGAATTGAAACCAGAGATGTACTAGAGTTTAGATTCCTTCATTTGATTAAGGTAAGATTGTTTAATAAAATTTAATCATACCTTTACTATCCATTCTCAGAGATGTGTTAGAATTTAGATTCTTTTCGTTTGATTAAGGTAAGATTGTTTAATAAAATTTAATTATACCCTTACTATGCATTTTTAGACATATTTTAATGTGTATTAACACGTTTAAATTTCCCAGTCTAATTGGAGATTCTGACCTCAGGAAATGTTTTCCTGGTTTCTTTACCATTTAAATAACTAATGTTCCTTGTAACAACTACTAGATGCAAGGAAAACATGATTATACATTTGCTGAAAGTGTTATATACTGATATCAAATCTGTTTGCAGGAGTCAGGCCAGCCACCTGTTTTAATAAAAAAGTTTTATTGGAACACAGCCACACCCACTTAATACATACTGTATGTGGCTGTCTTAGCACTACGGTGGTGGAGTTTTTAGTTGGAAAAGTGTCTGTATGGCTCATAAGCCTAAAATCTGGCCCTTTTAGGAAAGTTTGCTGACCCTTGGCCTAGAAAACTGGAGCAGGGTATCTTATGCTATGTAATTATAATGTATGAAAACTTATTAGAGATTTATATATGCATATAAATATATATGGAGCTACAGGAACTCTAATTTCTTCAAGTGAGGGGTCTGTATTATTACTTAGAGGAGGTGCTAGTTTTCTGAAGTAATTGATTTTTAAAATAAGACTTAATGTTGTTAGCAGTTAAGTACTAGGTGCTTATTTTTTAAGTAGAAGCCTTCATTTTGCTTAGATTTTCAAAAATAAAAGTTTATATGATAAAGGTCAAGTTTGTTCCCTTTCTAAAAACTTCACACAAACGCATTTAATTATATTTGTCTTTCCTACTAAATTTAAACTGAACGAATAATATCTTGAGAGTGATGATTGTGTGTTTTTAATATCCATTCTAGTAATTTAAGTAGTTTAGCATATATAAACTTAATTGAAAACATGCTAATATAAAACTACATTTAGTGGCTAAAGTTGGAGTTACATTTCTCTCTGAGATTTAAATGGAACTGCTTATACTTGTTTGTGATTCCTAAAATTATGAGTATTTTAAAAAACATAAGATAGAAGGAGAAATTTAAATTGGAGCCTAGAAAGTCTATAAAATCTTTGCTATACTCCTCAGGAATCTCTTGGCTAAAGAAAAAAAAAGTATATATTAAAAACATGCCATGTAAGTTAGAATTTCCAACCAAGATCATAAAGGAATTTCTCTGTTTATTGCACCAAAATCAGTATCATAAAGGAATTTCTCTGTTCAAGGCACCAAAATCAGAAACAAATTATTTTTGCTATTTTCTATGTAATTTTAGCAAAATAAAGTAAGCTTCTGAAGTCTTCATCACATAAAGAACTATTATTTGACTTGAAAATAGCCTCTTGTATATCATGCCTAACCAGAAATATATTTGGTTTCCTAATAGACTTGAGGTATCTTTGCTTGCATTTTTATAAAGCAAATTTAAAACTTTTTAAAATTTACTTTTTAAAGGGAGGGAATCTGGAAACTTACTAGGAAGAAAATACTTTGCATCCTTTTGTGCCATCATGCATTTTATATTTAAATCAGTATGGATTTAGAATTTGAGGGCTTACACATTTGAATTATGAAAGGTGATAAAATTAAGCTCCAGAAGGGATAGAAATCTTGATAGCTTTAATATGTTAATAAGGCCACCTTAGCATTGTGTGTGTTTAGCTGTGGAGAGTATCTGATTTGTAAACTAAGATTTATGAATAAGTAAAATTTTCTTTTAAATGATGGATGATACAAGAAGGTAATGCTAATGGTTTTTGCATCTATTAATATCATATCTTAAGACATCTTTTTTTTTAAACTTCCCTGATTTATGTTCTAGTTGTGCTACTTAAAAGTAAAACAAGGGGAAATAAACTTATAGGAAAGTTTACACTTTGATTTTCTTTTTCATGTAATCTTAGATTATTTCGATTTTTCTAGCTCAGCATAAAAAAATCAAATACTGAGTCATTGCCGGCTTGATAGTATCATTGAAATTAAATATGTATACGTTAAAGACAGGCATATAATTTTTTCTTTAAATTGAATATACTGCTTATCTTTTAAAGTATATTGTGGCTAGATAAGAAAGGGCCTGAGTGGACCTGATTTGGAATTTTCTCTGTTCAAGTCTTTGAAGTTATTCAGACTAAAAGAGAATGTCAGCTTTTTAATTTCGTAAAACCTGATCCGTATTAACAAAAAGTTAATACTTTCCCCTTAATTAATATATATTTGGGGGAAAATGCTTTGAGGCTTCACAAATATCTTGTTTCTCCTTTAATTTTTGGCCACTAATTTTGGCATTTATAGGTAGATCTTCTTTCTATTCTCCGTATTTCCTCTACATTTATCAATTATAATTCTTCTGTAATACCGAATAGTCCCTCCTCACATTTATTTACTTAATCATTTACTTATATCAGTGTGACCTCATGGATATTTATTTTATTCTCTGGATTCGAATCAAAATTCCGTTGTTGTTTATTTTGTTGCTCATATTGTTCCAGCTTTGGCCACTAGGAGCACTTTTTAATATGTCATTGTCTTTTTCTTTTCTTTTTTTTTTTTTTTNCAATTCCGTACTTTCTGACTTTATAAGATGCTTCAGGCTCAACTTGTATTTTCCCTGCTCTAGCACTGAAATCACTTACCTCTCCAAGGAACCCAGGTCCAACTTATTGGAGGATAGTATTTAGAAACCAGCATCTGGGTGCTAGGTATTTGCTGCTGAGCTGTTACTGCCTTTAGGCCTTTCAGGGGTCAGAGTTAGGAAATGTATACTGATATGGTTAGGTTTTGTGTCCCCATCCAAATCTCATCTTGAATTGTAACCCCCATAATCCCCACATGTTGAGGGAGAGACCTGGTGGGAGGTGACTGGATCTGGGGCAGTGTCCCCATGCATTTCTCGTGAGTGAGTTCTCACAAGATCTCATGGTTTGGTAAGTGTCTGACAGTTCCTCCTTAACACACTTGCTCCCTTGCCTGCTGCCATGTAACACATTCCCTTCTCCTATGATTGTAAGTTTCCTGAGGCCTCCCTCAACCATGTGGAACTGAGTCAATTAAACCTCTTTCCTTTAAAAATTACCCAATCTTGGGCAGTTCTTTATAGTAGTGTGAAAACAGACGAATACATATACCAAGCCACATATATACAGACATCTATATTTATATCTGTGTTTACTTTCATATACATGCTTAAAATATTAATTCATACTGGTACCTTCAACTCCAGTTTTGCACCACAGGGATTATTCTAGCATTTCCCCTCTGCTTATTTGGAGTTTCTTTCTCCCACAGTGAGAAAACTGACTCTCATTCTCTACACTACATTTATGTATTTATTATACATATATAGTAGTTTCTAAATTGCTAACCCATAGTCCTGTGAAAAACACATTTACCAAATACAATACAGTGTTTGTGTACAGTTATTTTTATCTTTATTCTCACATTAACCAACCAAAATGCTTTTTTCCAAAGTTAGTTGTCAGGCCTTTTCTTCTGTATATCCCCTTCAGTCTACTCTGCCATTTCATTTGTACCACAGTTAGATTCATTTGACACAGTTCGCATTCCACCTTGGGTTTCCCTGATATCCTGGTTATTTGCATGTAATTTATATACAGTAAAATTCATTCTTTGTGTTGTACAGTTTTGTGAATTTTGAAAAATGCATAGAGTCACATATCTACCAACAACAGTTCTGTGACCACCCCCCCCCCGCCAGTTTTTTTGTGCTGACGCTTTGTGGTCAGCCTGTCTCCCCAGTCCCACATCCTGGCTAATGTGTGTTCTGTCTAATGTGTGTTCTATCCCTTTAGTTATTAGCCTTTTCCAGAATCTTATATGCATGGAATCTTGCAATATGTAGCCTCTTAGATCTGGCTTCTTTCATTTAGCAAAATACATTTTAAGTTTTATCCATTTGTTGCATAAATCCTTAGTTTGTACCTTTTTGTTGCTGAGTAGTATTCTATTATATGTACATAATTTGCTTATTCATTTATCTGTTGAGGGACATCTGGGTTGTTTGCAGTTTTAGTCAATCATGAATAAAGGTACTACATTTACAAATAGGGTTTATGTGTGTGTGTATATACATAAGTTTTAATTTCACTTGAGTGAATATCTAGGAGTGAGATTATGGACCTCATTTTAAGCGTATATTTAATTTTATAAGAAACTGCTAAACTGTTTCCAAGTGAATGTACAATTTTGCATTCCTGCCACCAGTATATAAGAATTTTTGCTTCTCTGCATCCTTGTCAGCCCTTGATATTGTGTAGTATAGTTTTCCCTTTTATCTGTTCTAATGTATGTGTAGTGGCATCTTGTGTTTTTCAGATGACTCATAATGTTGAGCATCTTTTCATAGGTCATCCTTATATGTTTGTGAAAAGGTAGCTGGTCTCTTTTATTTCTCTGTGTTTTCTTTTTTCATGATCAACCAGGTAGATAGTCTTTCCAATATGTTTTTACTCAAATTAGCTGCCATTATCTCTATTTAGCTATACTTTATAATAAAATACACATTTCCATATGAGTTTTGGTTATCTGTACCTATTCAAAGGAAATGTATGCGTAGTTTTATATAGCTGAGAAATTGAATGATAATTTTATTGTTGTCTAAAGCTACGTTGCAGTGTAGGAATCTATCCAAAGATTACATCTGTGACTGAAACAACATGTAAGGTAAGACAAACTGTGATAAATTCTGCTAGTGCTGAAGATTGGCAATTGGGTTGACAAATGTTGCCTTAGAAAAATAAATTTTAGGGTATTTGATGAGATCTTTTCACCTTTGAGTATCAAATGAACAAAGAAACTGATGCTCTCTTGGGATATCTGTCAATATGGACAACCTTTGGTATGTTCTTACAACTAATCAGTTAATATTAGGTGAAAGATTAGAAATGAATGTTTTTAAGCTTGGGCTGCTTTATATAAACATTTAAAC